GATGCACATCTGCTTGTGTCATTGAACTGCTCCATGCCTACAGAGTGACATCTGACCTTACTAACTTGGCAAGTGTCAGTTGACTGACAGAGCTTCTCCCTAGTCATGTGCATCCAGTTTTAATTGTACTAAGAGGGAACTAGACAGGAATCTAGGGGACAAAACCATCAAGCTCGACACTCTTCTCCTCCTCAGGCTCATGGGACTTTGAGTGGCCAGACACCGTGGGCATACTAACTTGACTTTGTTTCATCTGCAGCCAAGTAAATTAGAAAGTGCATAAGCCATCCTGCCTCCAACCGCTCCCCACAGAGCTGTAGGTAAGGACGAGGAAGAAAAAAATAGTGTTCTTTATCAAAAACATAATATAAAAAGGGCTTTGGAGGCTTGGCAGGGCACAGGGCCTGTGGAGTTATTAAAGAGCAGATAAGGCCTTTGGACAAAAGAGGAGAGGTTGGGTACAAGCTGCTTCCTGTGATAAAATGTCCATCCCCTGGGACAGGCTGGAGGGCATGACCACACTGGAGTGGAGCTGGGGAAGGGGACCTGTGGGTCATGGTAAGTTGGAGAGAAAGCAGCTTTAGAGTTCCATTTGCTTCATGTTCCACAAAGGTTGATGTAGCATGGGGAACGGAGCTATTCCCGAGAGTCTGCTGGCCATACAGAGTTCCTTTTAGCATTTTCCTCTCCACGTGGGTCCTGGCTTGGCAGGTGGGTCCTGCTTCCTATTGACAGCGCTTGCCAGCTCTGGCTATGTGTTAAACACTCAGGGAATGGTTAGGAAACACCAGCCCCAGGGCACCCACCCAGCCCCAGCTGGGTTTCAGGCCATGTACCTTGGACACCAGTATTTTAAAATATAAACAGACGGAAATTAAAGGGAGAGCCACAAACTAGGAGAAAACATTTACAAAGATACATATTTAAAACCAGGTTTGACAACTTACACCTTTAATCCCCACATGTACTTGGTAGGCATCTCATTTAGATCGCACAGCAACTTTACAATAAAGATATTTTTTATTTTCAAAATGGGGAAACCAAGGCTTAGAGAAGTTCCAGCGCTTGCCTTAAGTTTCACAGCTAGTCAGTAGCTTAACTGGGTTCCAAGTCTAAACTCAGCCTTACTGATCACATATCACTTCAGATTTTATATTTTACACATTTCCCTCTCTGATGTCACTTGGGTTGCAAAGGCAGGCGGACCTCTATGAGTTTGAGACTAGCCTCGTCTACATAATGAGTTCCAGGCCTGTCAAAGCTATATAATGAAACTCTGACTCAATAAAACAAAAACTACACATTTAATGAAGGATTTGCATCTAGAATATATAGGAAAAAAGTTGAGATAAGGCCTCACGTATTCTAGGCTGGCCTTGACCAAGATGTGATTTCAGAAGGGCACCAGGTAGAGCCAGTGCTGAACTCTGGAACCTCCAAAATGGCAAGGTAAGCAACTGTAGATATAGGTTAGCTAGATTCTGGGATTTAGTTAAAGTAATAGAAGTAGAAAATACACCTAGCTTGAAAAGATATAATGAGCCAAAATACTCTATTTTATATCAGGTACCTAAAACAGAGTTTGACACAGAACACCTTAGTGCGGTGTGCTATACTTTGTACCATGTACTTGGTAGGCATCTCATTTAGATCGCTCAGCAGCTTTACAATAAAGATAGTTTTTATTTTCAAAATGGGGAAACCAAGGCTTAGAGAAGTTCCAGTGCTTGCCTTAAGTTTCACAGCTAGTCAGTAGCTTAACTGGGTTCCAAGTCTAAACTCAGCCTTACTGATCACATATCACTTCAGATTTTATATTTTACACATTTCCCTCTCTGATGTCACTTCTTACCTTTAGCCTCACTTCGTTAGTATTTTTATTCCAATGCAATTTCCACTGATCTTACCACTTTCTCCTTTCTGTTTATTGTTACTAATTTTTGTTAGTATACGAAAGAATGGGCTTCACTGTGACATTTCATTTGGGGGCATCTTTGGACCCTGTGCACATTCACTCTCCTGATCCAACTAGTCACCATGGACACCATCGCTCTCCTGGGTTTCTGTCCTCAGCCTCCCTGACCTTCAGCGCAATTTGCTTCTCCTTTGCAAGCACCCTTAATCCCATTGTTCTTTTCTCTCTGCTCAGGACAAGCTAAATTCTGTTATTTTAGCATCCCCTTTACTCCATTCTTCTCACCAAGCAGTAACTGTTGCTGGAGACAACACAGGTTGTAGACTAGGCTTCCAAGTGCTAAGCCAGGTTTTAATGGAGGCCAGGAGGGGAAGGGAAACAGGTGTCACCAAGGGTGGAGATGGAGAGGAATAGGGCTATTGTTATGGAGCAGTGGGAAGGTTGCTTAAGTTCTAAGTGATATGGGGAAATTAGATTGCGGGGGGGGGCGGGGAGCATTTGGGACCAAAGAGCACAGTAGTGTGAGACCTGGCTGGAGAAACCCACTGTGAATCTGATAATATTGGCCCAAGCTATTTTGGTGTTGGCTCTGACTGAGGCTCTGAAGGATCCTGGCTGGCTTCAGCAGGCAGATGAGTCAGTCAGAGAGTGTGGAAAGATGCTATGGATGGGGCCATCTGGAGAGATGGGGAGAGGCAGGAGTTTCTCTTCTGGTGCCTGGTGCGGTGGTGAAGATAAGCTGCCGAGGGGCATCTGGGTCTGTGGTGGAGCCAGGCCAGGAGTAGGCTGGGAAATGCTAAACAACCAATTCCAAGGCAAACAACAGCAGCAAAACCGCAGTCTCACCTCAGCTGATTTCAGGTCTGCAGTGTGATGTCACTGATTGTTAAGCTGGAAAGTGGTGTGACCTATCAGGGCTGTAAAACAGCTGGTACAAGCTGGCTCCAGCGACGTATGGCTGGGTGAGTTCTGAGCTCTCCATCAACGAAGAAGTAGATATCATACAGTGCTGTGAGCATGGAGGCGGGGGACGGGCTCCCAAGATGCATTGCATGTGAAGGACAATTCACATACAGGAATCATCTCAGCCTGGGGAATGTACTCAACTAGAATAGGGTCTAGGGAAAGCTGTATAGTACTCATTAACTGGCAGGGATCTTAGGTGTCTGTCCTATGCCCCTGTGTCACCTGGAAAAAGAGTTTTAACTAGAGATTGTCTACATTGTGTTGGTTGGTGGGCATGTCCATGGGAGATTGTCTTTAAATTATTTGCTGTAGGAAGACCCAGCTCTCTGTGGGTGTGCCCCGTTCCCTTGATGGGGGTCCTGGAAGACCCAGCCCACTGTGGGTGTGCACCGTTCCCTTGATGGGGGTCCTGGAAGACCCAGCCCACTGTGGGTGTGCACCGTTCCCTTGATGGGGGTCCTGGACTGTTGAAGACTAGAGAAGTTGAACTGAGCGCTACCAAGCAGACAAGTGATCATGGATGCATTGTCTTCTTCCTGTTCCTGCCCATGGCCAGCTGGTTCATGACTCTGTTGCTGTAACCCACAGTGATGGACTGTGCCTGGAACCTCTCTCTACCTTAAGTTGCTTCTGGGTATTTTATTACAGCAGCATACTGACACCAGAACAGATGCCTGCCTGTTATTCGGCCACCTCTAATCAGTTCTATAATGATGGTCTGTGTAGAGCCAAAAACCTGTGGTGCATAATTTTTGTCAAGAAAATTTAGGAGGAATTGAATTCACATATTGTTTCAAGTAGCCAGATAATTTATTCATGTGAATAATGCATTTCATTTTAAAGGGACAGGAGTCCTTTAATCTGCATAAACCCAGTTTGTTAGAGTTTTCATTCAGAAGAAAGGGTGATTCCAGGAAAGAGGAAAGGGTAGAGTTGACTGCTAGGCTTGGTCCTGGTGAATCGTCCCTTATGAAGTGAAAACCGTCAGGTAACAGTATACTTTGGGGTTTGCTGCTTGTAATCTGTCTTCCTCCTTCATGGACGGAGACTGAATATTATTTAATAGGGATGAATGGTACTGCAGGGGTGTTCTCGCGATGCTGCACACAAGTCACAGAACTCCTGTCCTGCCTTAGAACTGCTGCGCCTGAAACAGTGGAAGAGCCCGAACGCTCACAGCCAGAGCATCGCTGACTCACACCATCAGCTGCCCGTGTCCAGCAAAATCTCATGTTTGTGCCGTGGCCACCAAGAATTAGGGTATTCTCTTTTCCCTTTTATCTTGTCTTTTATCTTTTAAAAAAAGGTGTCTGTTGACCTATTTCTGGCACTCTGGGAAGATACTATGTCCTGCAGCTCTAGAGGAAATGTTGGAAAGGGGGAAAGGCGATAGGAGAGCCGTTCCGCCGATCCGACGCGTAGGTCTTGGCATCCTGCTTTTGAATTGCTTGTATGACCCTGTAGGGAGAGAGGGTCTGCCGGCCTCCCTGTAGGTGATGGTTCACTGAGGCCATTGAGGCGGGCAATGTTGTATCTACAGAAGCACTACATCCCGTTTCTTGGCTTCCCCCTCCAAATCCCAGTCAAGTCAGAGGACTTGCTGCTCTGCTACTCTGTATATCCTTTGCTATTGTTTTACACTAGCTGTGTGCTCTGCTCCTCGGGCTAGAAGACTCAACCCATCCTCCAAGGAAACAGAGTAACCAGAACGTAGCAGAGAGTGAGAAGTTAGGAGACCAGGAGCCCGGGCACCAGAACAGCTGCTTGTACTGAAAACCCCAGAAAATGGAAGCTATTACAATCAGGTCAAAACTTAATCCCTTTTCTACCTAGCATTGACCAAAAAAGCAGACAAGCCACTTCACTGCCATTGGGGCAGCTCATTGCTAACTGTTCTAGAAGGGTGTCTGCTGCTCACGCTGCCAGAGTGGGTTCAACCCCCAGGACCCATATGGTGGCAGGGGAGAACCGGCTCCCACACATTGTCTTCCACACACAGGCTCTGGCATGTGCCCCACAACACATAAATAAACAAACATTGTAATGAATACTCGGCAAGAGCGGAATGAGCAGCAACCAGGCCAGCAAGCCGTGGGACTTCCGTCCTCTAGACACTCACCTGATAATATAGATGCAACGGCCGCAATGATGAAGGACACAATGACACCAGGGCCTGCCATTTCCTTGGCCACCAGACCAGACACCACATACATGCCAGTGCCCACGCAGCTGCCGACTCCAAGAGAGATGAGGTCCACAGTGGTGAGCACCTGGGCTAGCTTGGTACCGTGCGCTGTGGTTGCTCCAGTCCCTTCCAGCATGGACTCCACTGGTTTGGTACGCAGGATCCGAGAGTGCATTGCATACCAGGCAGCCCCCCACTGCACCCGCCGGGGGTCCAGCGAGGCCAGAAAGCCACTCATCCTGAACAGTAGGGTTGCAGTGAAGGTTTGCTGATGGAAAAGGACCACAGAAGCCTTAGTGGACGACCCTGGAACTCATGGAGCAAGGAGTGCGTGTCCTTTTAAGAAAGGCCCAGTGGGACCCAAAGCAGCCTTGACTTGGGCATGAACGTCTGCAAGAGAAACACAAGAAAGAAGGTAAGAACAGTGGGAAGCAAACCAGGACTTGGAGACACATTGGGCACACCCTCATGAACAGGGACAACGAGAGTGTCCTTTGTGCTTTGTCCTTTGAACGTGGGGACATTCCATTTTTGAGTTCTCCCTTCTGAGTTCCCTCCCAGTCCCAAGCCTGAAGCTTGCCTTGTGTCTCATAATCATCCCAGAGGCTGACTTACTCTAAGACCCACTGTAAGCTATTTCCTTTCTCTGTGCCTCAGTCTTAGCAGTTCACAGGCCAATAAAGTCTTGACGAGAACGAAGACACTCTGAAAAGATGGGTATACCTTTCCTTTGTAAATTCCAACCGTACTTTAAGGAACTAGATTTTCTCTAGGAATTCATGCAGGGAGAAGGAAGAGGTTGTGGCCCTGGTGCCAGCTGGTGGAATTCGTCCTCCAGAAAGATACTTCACACAGTTCTGACAACTTGTCAGTTGTCAGGGCACCTCACGGGAGAGACTGAGGCCTGGATGTTGATGTTGGGACCACTGACAAGGGCTGCTTAGCTATGCATGGCTTTCAACAGCTCTCTATTTAAGCCCAAATCTCATGCTAGGACCCCAAAGGTGGACCTGGAAGAGAGGCTAAACCTTTTTGCTTTCCTTCCCAGTGTCGCCCACTGAATAGTCTCCCCTTTCGACTTTTACCTATTAGTTTGTCTCTCTCACTTGTCTATCAGAGTCGTTAGTTTTCTGTTGCTCTGATAAAACATTCTGACAAACACAGTTCAAGGAAGAATGGGTTTATTTTGGCTTATGGTTCCAGAGGGGTAGAGTCCATCATGGTGGGGAAGGCCCGGCATCAGGCAGGGAAAGTATAGAAGCAGGAGCAGGAAACTGACTAGTCACGCTTTTAACCACACACAGGAAGCCGAGAAGGAACAGGAGCATGGTGAGGCTCTAAAATTTCTACTGATGTACTTCCTCCAATGAGGCTCCACATCCCGAAAATTCTATAATCCTCCAAATAGTACCACCAGCTGGGAATCAAATGCTCAAGTACAGAAGCCTATGAGGGACATTTCTCATCCAAGCCACTATATCTACTGAGGACAGGTGGACAAACCTAGTTCATTAGGGCTGCCAGAACCTTGGCTCTGACCCAACAACTCCAGTAACAGAGTCATCTGCTTAGTGTTAATGTGACAGGCAGGTCAGCACATTCCTATAAGGAGCCGAGGACAAGACCTGGCTCATAGGAAGCACTCAGCTGCCTCAACTCCTATGTACTTCTTACTTGGCTCTGCCAAGATTTGATCTGTGACGCTGGGCATATTCTTTGTGAACATAATATCCTCATTTGTGAAAAACAATAGAATGGAAAATTAGATCTATGATTCTTAAGAGGGGCCATGCCACCCATGGGGTTGTTTTGAATTTGGCTTTCAAACAAAACACTTTCTTGCTTTGGAAGCTGATATGGTGAGGAATTCTGCTGACATTTGAGGGGTGGGGCTAACAGTGGAAATGCACAGGATGGTGTCACATATCTCTGGAAGATCTCACAGGATGTTCTTGACAATGGTGAACTGAAGCTCAATAGTGAACTTTAAAGTCTGCTTGCAGGATATTTGGGATGATCTTAAAATATAAGGACATTGAAACTTCCAGGAAAGCAACTCCAGAATAAGTTAAATGGTTGTAATTCGATTTGTTTGGAACTGAAGAGGGGTTGCCACCATCTGAGAAGACTAAGGTTCCCACAGCAGTGCTGTTCTTGGGATCATAACACTCTCACACAGACCCTTCTAATAACAGGTTGTTGAGAATTGGTGTATGTACAGCCAAGTCTTCACCTAATGTGCCAGATAGTTTTTTGATCATCTGGACACAAAATGGATCACCTGGGAAGAGGCAACCTTAACGGAGAAAATGCTTCCATCAGATTATCCAGTAGGCAAGTCTGTGGGCATTTTCTTTATTGATGATCCATGTAGGAGGGTCCCCCACTGTATATGCCCTGAGGCTATCTTCTCTTGCAGTCAGGAGCTTTATAAGATTCTAGAAAGAAATTTTGAAGAATGTGAAACATCGATTCTGAGCACTGCACTGGTAAGCCTAGGTCATTTACACACAGAAGTCCCTGCCGATGTAATCTGTACTGTTATTAGTTTTGAATTGGGGTCTTGCTAGGCAGTGGACAAATCTTCTGCATCCTCATCCTGAGCGCTCTGATTATAGGTGTGTGCCATGACACCAGCGTACTAATATTATTAATTAATACTACTTAGCACTTAATGTGCTTATCTCATGGCGTAAGCTTTGCCAACACCAACTAATTAGGAGAATCAGGTGAAATGCAGTAGCTTGGTTCACAGGATTTCAGTGACAACCCTTCTGGTTGAGTTTCTTCCTCGAGCCGAGTGTCTGTATTGTGCTCCTCCTCCTTATCAGGCCCAAATCCTGATCTTTAGACAAAAGCCAGCATTCCTCAGAAGCTTATGAAGCCAGTTCCCCTCTACCAAAGGAGCCACCGCCTTACTCTAGGCAGAGGTGCCGATTAGTGTATCACACATGCTGGTCTCCAGGTCCCTCAGTGTCACGGGTACCTGATACACATTTCAGAGTCTGTGCTGGCATCCTGGCTCTTCTCATCCCGCTCCTTACCCTAAGCTTCTCCAGCTCCCAGGCTTCCTTCCCAGCTACTCGTTTCTTCTCTGCCACTTTGGCCTTGCTCCCTCTTTCCTCTTCTGCTCTTGGTCCTCTCACTCCCCCACCCATGACCATGTCCACTCCGCTGGCCATGTTCAGTCTGCTACACTCTCTCCCTGCTCTGGACTCTTCCAGATGCCTCTGGCTGTTCTCTCCTCGTATCTTCAATAAAAACCTTCCCCTTAATCACACCTGTGAACGGCTACGTCATCTTTTAATACACTACTCCCGCCCCCTCCTGCTCCTCATTTCTCTTCCTTTCTTCTGTTTCTCCTTCATCCACAGCTTCTCCTCACTTTCTCATCTTCATCTTTCTGTGTCTTCTTTCCTGATCAGTGAAGCAATACGACCTGTGGGTCATAGGATTGTAGCTGAAAGTTTCCTGTGTCCCACCCAGTCTGCAGCTGTTCACACTCAAAAAAAACACACACAGGCTAATATTATTTTTTGAACTATGGCCATGGCAGGCTTCTTGCTAGCTAGATCTTACATTTTAAAATAACCCATTTCTTTTATTTTTTATTTTTTTATTTTGCAATACAATTCAGTTCTACATATCAGTCACGGATTCCCTTGTTCTCCCCCCTCCCGTCCCCCTCACCTTCCCCCCAACCCCCCCCCCCCATTCCCATCTCCTCCAGGGCAAAGCCTTCCCCACAGACTGAGTTCAACCTGGTAGACTCAGTCCAGGTAGGTCCAGTCCCCTCCTCCCAGGCCGAGCCAAGCAATCCTGCATAGGCCCCAGGTTTCAAACAGCCAACTCATGCAATGAGCACAAGACCCGGTCCCACTGCCTGGATGCCTCCCAAACAGATCAAGCCAATCAACTGTCTTACCCATTCAGAGGGCCTGATCCAGTGTGGACTCCTCAGCCATTGGTTCATAGTTCATGTGTTTCCATTCATTTGGCTATAAAATAACCCATTTCTATACATATGTACTTTGCCACGTGCCTTGTGGCTTACTAGTATCTTTACATCTTGCTTCTCCTGCCAGCAGCTGGCAGCGTCTCCTCGCTCTGTTTCTCTTTCCTCTCTCTCTAGTTAGAATGTCCCACCTAACCTTATTCTGCCTCACCATTGGCCAAACAGCTTTATTTATCAACCAATCAGAGCAACACATTTTCACAGCATACAGAATGACATCACCCATCACAGGATCCTACTTTAGTTGTGTTCTTATAGGAAAATAAATGTGGATGCATGTCTGTTGCTTCACACCAGTTGGTGGTGCACTGTGTGGCTTCACACCAGTTGGTGGTGCACTGTGTGGCTTCACACCAGTTGGTGGTGCACTGTGTGGCTTCACACCAGTTGGTGGTGCACTGTGTGGTTTCATACCAGTTGGTGGTGCACTGTGTGGTTTCACACCAGTTGGTGGTGCACTGTGTGGTTTCACACCAGTTGGTGGTGCACTGTTCAGCTTCACACCAGTTGGTGGTGCACTGTGTGGCTTCACACCAGTTGGTGGTGCACTGTGCGGCAGCCTTAGCAAACTAATATAAGGCTGTGACAGAAATAAACAGGAGTGACAACACCAGTTGACGCGTCAGTGTGGATAGGGAAAGTTCACAAGGCCCTAGATGAAGAGCTACAGGCACTCAACAGCTGCTGAGAGGGCGAGACTCAGTGCTCTCCAGGGACACACCCCCTGGTGGACTAGCCAGTCCCAAGCGGTCAGCCTTAAACATGTACATACAAGCAAAACTAAATGGACTCAGTAGGCTGTGCATACATATATACTTCTTCTTTTTTTTTTTTTTTGGTTTTTTGAGACAGGGTTTCTCTGTGTAGTTTTGCGCCTTTCCTGGAACTCGCTTTGGAGACCATGCTGGCCTCGAACTCACAGAGATCTGCCTGGCTCTGCCTCCCAAGTGCTGGGATTAAAGGCATGCGCCACCACCGCCCGGCTTAACATATATACTTCTTAATTAGAGAAGCAGTCATAAATTTGAGAGGGGCTAGGGAGGAATTGAAACAGAGAGGGAAAGATGAAATTATGTAAATACACTACTCATGTGTGAAATTCTCAAAAATAAACAACAAAATGAAACTAGGTGGGGCAGGGCTGGTAGATTCTCTGGCCACACCGCACTGGCTCTTGAGTAAGGGGAGAGGCTGGCTGTGCCCAGCATCAGGGAAGTGCTTGGCAGAGTGAGGAGAAAGATCTGAGTGCTGTGAATGAGTCAGGTGGACAGCAACAGCAACGTAACAAATGTGCCTTTGCAGAGGAAGCAGAGGAGGCAGGAAGGTATAGACGCCTGCCCAAGGTCACAGCCTTCTTCAAGGATGGGAGCAGAGT